TCGAACCCGCGGGCTTAGGCAATCCACTCACCTCAGCCTCCCAAAGGCGCGGGATTACAGGCTGAGCCACCGAGCCCGGCTCCCTCTGGGATTTTCAAAGCCCGTACTTGCCCAGCCTTTCTCCCTCCTCTTCACCCATCTTTACTGCCCTGGGTCACTCACTTTCGAAGTGTCCATCTGCCACAGATTACTCGTAGCCATGCAAGAGAAGAGAATTGTGATTTGACAGGGTCATGGCTTAGGGGAATAAGTACTATCCTTGGATTCTTAGCACCCATGTTATACGGATCAGTTGTGAATTGTGAACCAAGTCCTTTGTCACTAATATTGAAGTACTGAATTTGCGAGTGATGTGCTTTTTTTTTTTTTTTGAGTTGGATTTTCACTGTCGCCCAGACTGGAGTGCAGTGGCCGCTCCCGACTGCAGCCTCGACCTGCTGGGCTCTGGCGATCCTTCTGCCTCAGCCTTCCAAGTAGCTGGAACTACAGGTGCACGCTACCACGCCCGGCTAATTTTTTTGATTTATTGTAGAGATGAGGTCTCGCCTCCCAGGCAGGTCTCGAACCCGTGGGCTCAGGCAATCCACTCACCTCAGCCTCCCAAAGGCGCGGGAATACAGGCTGAGCCACCGAACCCGGCTGATGTGCTTTCTTTTTAACAATTACCACAGGTTTCGAGTTCTACGTCTCCTGACACCACTGTCATCTGTGCACCTGAATGACAGAGAAAGGGAGGAGGTAGAACTGGCATGCAAGAAGCACCTGTAGCAGGTTGGCACGCGTTCTCTGGGCAGAGCCAAATAGTAAACATTTAGGTTTCCAGGCCCCATGTGGTCTCTGCCACAACTACCCAATTGACAGATGTAGATGAGCGCAGTTGTGCTCCCGTAAAAATGTTATTAACAAAAACAGGCAGCAGGCTGCGGCTGGTTTGCCAGCCCCTGAGCTGTCATGATAGCGCCTGCCTTGTGGAATCTCAGTAGTGCCTGCCCTGGCTAAGGCAAGGTGACTTTCCTGAGGCTTTGAGACAGGCTGATTAATCTTTTCCGCCCCTTCACACGATAATGTCTCTTGCAGGATTTCGAGAGGGCTATCCTTACCCCCATCCCCACACCCTGTACTTCCTGGAGAGAGCCAATCTCCGGTCATATCGCTTCCAGCCAAATCAGCTGCGGGCCAAGATGATCCTGTTTGCTTTTGGCAATGCCCTGGCTCAGGCCCGGCTCCTCTATGGGGTACGTATGTGGTATGTGGAGATCACTGGGCCACGTTATGTGGTATTGGTCTCCTACCTTAAGGACATGCTCAAAGGAGGAGGCGGGGGAAGGACTCCTTCGTTGCCGGAGGAGTCTCAGGAAGAGGCACTTCCACCCCTGCAAGATGGTCTGAAGTCGTGGGGGCCAACTGCACCTGTGCTTCGCCTGGATTTCATGCTTGTCGATCACAGTGGCTCCTGAGGTTTCCCTGAGTTCCCTGCTCTCCAGAGTATGCCACAGAATCCCAGGGAGCTTGTCCACCATCATACAGCGGTGGGTGATGTGGAAGGACTGGAACAAGGTCTGTTCCATGGTGTCAGAATCGGAGCACAAGCTCCATCAGGCAGGAGGAGGTGACGCGGCAGAGACAGCCCAGCCCTGCCTGCCAACCCGACAGGAAGTGTGGGAACCAAGTTGCCACCTGGTGGCAGCTCCTTGATCCTAAGAGGAGGCCCCAGGGACCTAGTGGTGTAGAATGCAGGCTGAGTGGTTGTCCCAGAGAGCTGTCCAAGGGTAGGGGCATGCCTGGTCCTGGGAGCAGAGGCCTCCAGCAGGCTTGGGCAACTGACCCCTAGATGGGGTGGGGCTGGATTCTGTAAGCTGCTGCTGGACTCCTAGGACTCCATTAGAGCCTGAGGCCCTCCCAGAGGAGTGAGGACATTTGCAGTGTTCTGTTCGCCATCCTCCTCGGGCAAGGCACCAGGCGGGAGTGGAGGGGTGTGGTTAGCCAAGTAGAGAGGGCGTGGATAGACCTGGTCCATGCCGAGCCTCTGCTGCATGTCAGGCATTTATTTAGGGTTTTTTACATCAGTGGTTCTCAAAATACACTCCTGGATCATCAGCAAGAGCATCATCTGGGAACTTGTTGAAAATGCCAATTCTCAGACCCACCCAGCCTGACTGAATCAGAAATCTGGGGTTGGAGCCCAGCAATCAGTGGATTGCTGATAACCATGGATGCTGATAACAGGCTGAAGTTTGAAAACCACTGGTTAACATTTCAGAACCACTGCATTATTTATTTTTATTTTTGAGTAGGTGTCTCACTCCATTGCCCAGGCTGGAGTGCAGTAGTACATTCACGGCCACCCCAGCATTGACCTGCTGGGCTCCGGTGATCCTTCCACTTCAGCCTTCCAGGTAGCCAGAACTACAGGCACGTGCTACCACGCCCGGCAATTTTTTTTTTATTTATTGTAGAGATGAGGTCTCACCATGTTGCCCAGGCTGATCTCGAACACGCGGGCTCAGGCAGTCCACCCACCTTGGCCTCCCAAAGTGCTGGGATTACAGGCTGAGGCATCAAGCCTGGCCACCACTGCATTATTTAACCCGTGTAGTTATTTAACCCTCTGGGCAAATACTGTGAGCTTCATTTTACCGATGGTGAAACTGAAGCCCAGGGAGGCCAGGCAACTTGCCCAAGGTCACAGAGCTAAGAGACTAGCAGCTGTCACATCCTTATGTGACCTTATATCTTTCCAGGCCTAGGCAGGTTATCTTTATTCCCATTCTCTGACTGTGTACTTCCTTAGTGAGAGGTGGGGTATCTTGCCCAAGATCTCTGATGAGCAGGGACGCAAGGACTGGAGGTGTGATTGCTCCAGCTTCCAAGGAGGTGTTACCTCCAAGTCAGGTGGGAGAAGGAGGCAGAGAGAGTCACTCGCCTGGTCCCAGGCTTGCAACTCACTTCAGCTTCTGTGCCAGCTGTTGCCAGCAGAGCTGGGTAGCAGCGACGCCACTAATTGCCACCCAGTTGGGTAGGAGAAGAGGCCTCCCCAGCCCCCTCTAGACACAAATTATTCCTGGGGATGTGAAGTTGAGCAATTATGGGAAGAGCCTCCGTGTAAAAGGTAAAATTGCTGAGAAATTTATGTACTACCTGCAGTTTTATTGATCTGTAGAGGGAGATAAGAGTCAATACAGGATTCTCGGCTAACACTTACAGGTACTTTTCTTTTTATTTATTTCTCATGCAGCCAAGAACAGGTATTTCTAAGGCCAACAGCCCCAGTGTGGCCCACACTGAGGTCTGACATTAGCTATTCCTGATGTCACATTCGGCCCTGGAGGGGTGAACATAGGCAGCATGTGTGAATCAAGGATGCCCTGCCTCACGGGGCCTGCCTGGTTGGATCTTTGTCCAGTGAGTGGCAGCCACCACACTGGATTGCTGCGAGGCCTTAGTTCATTGACCACATGTTGTGTCTCCCCAACTGGGGCCTGCTGAGAGTGAAGAGGCGTTACTGCCAGATACACTGGGACTCCTAGGGCAAACGCAAGCGGCAGGGTTTTAAGTGACTTAGGAGCATGGGGTCTGATCCTGGCTCACACCTCATCAGTGACCTGGAGCAAATTATACCAACCCTCTGAACCTCAGTTTCCTTATCTGCTAAGTGCGAATATACTTCTAGATTTATGAGAGCAGAGGTGATCTTCTGTAAAACTGGCAAGATGCCTGGTACCTCAGAGGCCTTTAGTCAATGGTCTTGGTATTATTACTATTACTGCATGGCACTAACTGAAAGAGATCATTAGCAAATGTTTTGACCAGTGAAATCTTGACGTGCTGGAGTGGACATTCCAGAAATATGGCTCATTTTGAATTGCAGTATGAGCACAAGCCTGGGCACGGTGCCTGCCTGCAGGCTTAAGGCAGTCCAGGGTGCCAGCCTCTTGGGAGCATGGTCTGGCAGGAGCCAGTTTGGGCTCAGTGCCACATATCTTTGTATCTTCAGACAAATTTTACCCCTCCCTAGGTCTGTTTCCCTTTCTGTCAAGTGGAGTGAGAACTGAATGAGGGATATCTGTTCATTAACCACCCCTCCCAGCTTAAAGCTGACGTCATTTGTGCCCATCAGCTCACCCCTTGAGTTTAGAGAATTCCGTTGTCAGCCTCCCAGCCTCCTGCCTGGACTTTGTGGCTTGCTAGTCATTGCCTCTCCACAGCAGGAACTATTACTTAATGTGCTTGAGTTTAAGATCAGGAGGCTCCCTGGTGCCACAAGGCTTCGGTGGCCGAGCAGAGCCAGGCTGGGTGAGGGAAGGCCTAGGCCTAGGCCTGGACGGTGCGCTGACACTCGCTCTATTTGGTTGCCCCAGGGTGCAGTCGTTAAGTGGGTGGGGTGGGCCTGGAAAGGGCAGAACTGGTGCTGCCCTGTGTGGGCTGTTCCTCACACCCGCCGTTTTTGTTTTGATGCTCTCATCGTCCCCTTTTCCTCAGAGCGACGCCAAGGTCCTGGAGCAGCCCGTGGTCGTGCAGAGTGTGGGCACGGATGGGCGTGTCTTCCAGTTCTTGGTGCTGCAGCTGAACACCACAGACCTGGCCTCGGCTGAGGGCGTCAAGAATTTGGTCTGGATGGACGCAGACCAGCTCCTCTATCAGCACTTCTGGTGTCTCCCTGTGATCAAAAAGAAGGTGGTTGTGGTGAGTCCTGCAGTCTGGTGGTTGGGGCAGGGCCGTGGCTCACCTGCTCCGTGTGAGCCTGGGGTGGGGTTGGGCCGAGGGGCGCTCTGTGAGGAGAGTCCACATGGGGACTTCCCGCCTGAGACCTTTTCCTGGAGGACAACTTCAGCTCCGAGCTCTCCTAAGACTCATTGCCTGCCCCAGACCCTGTCCAGCCCTTTCGTCCAGCCCCTGCCTCCCTCGGCACCCTCCAGCTCCGTCCAGCTCCCCGGGGTGCCTGCCGCCACCAATTCGAGCCTTGTAAACACTGCTCATGTCATAGGAGGTTCCGCCCCGTCCTTCCTTTTTCTCTCACCGCTTCTCTTTCGTGGCAGCCCTCTACATGTCCTTCCAGGCTTCACATAGCGTTTCTCACTCTGGGAAACCTCTGACCTCTGCCATCCCCACCCCAGCCTCCTCCATGTGGCTCAGGTGGCCGCCAGCCTCCGTGTTCCCTGCACAGCACAGTCTGCTGCCAGCCACAGAGATCTGTTGAAGTTCTTCTCCCCCACCAAGCTGAGCGGTGGGCTCCCCGAGGGCAGGGCCTGCAGAGGGCACATTCATTTGTTTCGTTCTGCAGATAAGGAATTCCTCCTGGCACTGTCACCACACACCCCAGCACACAGCTGACAGAGCCCAGGCCTGCTGTCTGCAGTGGGCAGCGACAGTACCTCAATCCATTCCTGATACACTCCTAAGAGACAGGCAACAGGATCAGGAGGAGGGAGGGAAGACAAAGGAGGGGAACTGCTAGCTTGGGAACCAGCTGTGTCCCACCCAGGGCCCGAGGACAAGTTGCTAAATGGAGTTTTTGAGCCTTTGAACGGTAGACATGTCAGTTATTTAATTAGTCTTCTAGCATCTTTCAGTGTTTTTCTACCCTTGAAACACCTGCTGGGTCTGTGCCTTTGGCTTTGACCCTGGACACACTTGTGTCCCTCGCACGGTGACAGCAGCCACCGCCAGTCTCTCTGCTTTTAGTCGTGTTCTCCCTCCCTGCTCCGTGTCTTCAGGTCTTCTTCCTCAGTCCTTCCCTTCCAGATGGCTCCCACAACCCCAGGCCATTCTTGTTTGGCCAGACACCCCTCCTTGCCCTCGAGCCTGTCTCCTGCCTCTCACTGGCCTGCATGAACCTGGCACTGCCTGCTCTTGCTCTTCCTGCCTTCACGTTGGCCTCGGCCATTGCATGTGCTGGGCTCTCCGACATCTCCTTCCTTTGCTTTTTCTTTCTGGCCCATTCTATGAGCCCTTCCATGTATGAAAGTTGGCAAGTTAGTCACCTCTCCTTACTTTCTTATCTTTTTCCTGTTTCTGTGGTGGGGTCTGTCACCTTGTCCTTTCACTTCTCGAGCCCCTGACTATAAGCTCCTTGAGGACAGGAACCAGAGTCAAGTCACTGCCGGGTTTCCAGCACTGGGCACAGGCCCAGTACAGAGAGAGCGGAGTGTGTATGTGAAATGGGCGAGAGACTGTTGTCCCCAGGATTAAAGGTGGCACCAGACAACTTGTTCTGGTGGTTGAAGCACGAAGATCCTAGGAGCAGGGCAGCGTCTGCAGCTGGTTGACTGGAAGGGGCTGGGGCGCTTCCTGTCCTCCTCCCTGCCACAGTCCCTCAGTGCCCTTAGTCCGCACGAGAGGTAATGTCAGAGAAAGCCACTCTCCAGGCACTGAAGGTTGACATCAAGCCAGCCTTTGTTTTAATGGCTGCTGTTAACCTAGTATCAGAATCCTAACGGGCTGTGTTCTTTCCAGGAACCTGTTGGGCCGATTGGTTTCCAGCCAGAGACCTTCAGGAAGTTTTTAGCCCTGTATTTGCACGGTGCCATGTGAGCCAAGGACCACTTTGAGGCCGGATCCCCCCTGCCCCGCTCTCCAAGAAGAACCTGCATCTGGGGCGGTGATGGCCACCTGGAGCTTGGTGGTCTCGCTGACAGTAAAGAGCTTGGTGTCACACTGGAGCCTTTGCTTTGTGTGGGTGCTGTCGGGAGGGGCCCCCGTTCTGGTCCAAGCCTGGGGCCTGACCTGCCTCAGCGTAAACCCAGCTCTGCCCTTGAGCTGGAGAGGACCTGTGATAAGCATCTCCATCTCTCTATCTTCCATTTCTCTGACCAGTGCAACTTAACTTGTTTTGAAGACCGCAGGTTACGAGTATGTAGTATCTGCTGTGTAGCAGGTGCTGTGTGGTGGTCACCAGGTTCTTACGGGATCAGTTAGGTCACGACACATTCCACAGTGACTGCAGAAAGTCCCACTTTATATTCATTGTAGGCGTCCCACTCGGGGCCCAGGCTGAGTACACCCCTGGTTCCGTAGGTCTCTGTTGTTCAAATGGCATCAAGTCCTGCTCTGTGCCAGACGCTCCCACCGTGCCAGGCACCCTGTGCACAGCATCTGCAATCTCCACAACCCTACAGGATAGGCGTCAGTTCCATAGTCAAGAAAAATGCTGAGTGCCTGGCGTGTGCCAGCCACTGTCCTGGGCCTGACAGAGGAAACAGATAAGGTAATGGATTGCCCAGGGACACACAGCTGCAGCTTTAGGTCAGCTTCCTACAACACTCTTGGAGGTGGAGGCTTGCACGGGAAGTCCGGGGCAAACCTTGAGGACCAGTGCCTGTGGGGCAAAGGCGGCAGTGTCAGCTCAGTGTGATCGCCCCTGCGGCCTTGGCCAGCTCATGGGTGCTGCGGAACCACAGGAGTCCACGGAGGCAGGGTCAAGCCTTCAGAAATCCCTGCCTGGCCCCAGCCATTGGACGTGTGCAGCTTTCCACAGTGGGCGAGACCTCGGGTGAGGAGGCTTAGTTGGGCTGTAGGACTCCTACCAGGAGACTGTGAGAGCAGTGTGTAAACTTCCAGCAGTTGGAGGTACTCTGAAGAGAGCTGGGCGGATGCTGAAGCATCCATGGCTGGCAAAAGGCAAGGTATAATTTCCAACCTGTCTTGACTTCCAGCAGTGTGCTGTTTCCATTTACGAGTCACCTTTACAGCTTGGCAGGGGTTGAGGGGGGTCAGGGAGGCAGGAGGGATCACCAGGAAAGGCAGGGGAGCACAGGGAAGGTTGGGGGCGGGAGCTAAGCAGCCCGCTTGTGAGGGCCCTTGAACATCGAGCACCTCAGCCTTCCCAGGGGAGGCGATCTGGGGCCCGGGGAACTCAGTGAACCTTGTTGTCCTTTTGCTTTTGGTTTTTATGATTATTATTGGAGTTGGGGTCTTACTCTCACCCAGGCTGGAGTGCAGTGACAGGATCATGGCTCACCGAAGCCTTGTCCTCCTGGGCTGAGGCGATCCTCCTGCCTCAACCTCCCGAGTAGTGTGCCACCATGCTGAGCTAATTCTTAAATTTTTTTTTTGTAGAGACGAGGTCTTGCTATGTGGCCCAGTCCAGTCTCAAACCTGGGCTCAAGCAGTCCTCCCACCTTAGCCTCCCAAAGTGCAGGTGTGAACCACTGTGCCTGGCTTACTTTTCATTTTAAAGTTGATGATGACATATACATGGTAAAAATTCAAAGAGTTCAGAAAAAGGTGTCACCCCCCCTCCCCCCAGGCAGTCCCCTAGTCCTTCCCCTAAGGGTAAGCCCAGCCTAGATCATGTCCCATCTGTTCAGGTGCCCACGGTGGAGCGTGCCCACTGCAGACAGCCCCCCTGCGCCTCCTTTCCCACCTAATGTCTTCGGATCGCAGGGTCCTGCCACATCAGCACAAACGATCCACCTTGTTCTGAGCAGCTGCATTCATATCTGTGGATGGTCGTTCGGGTTGTTTCCAGTGGTTAGTTATTGGAAATAGTGCTGCCGTGAGCATCCTTGTTCACATACCTCCCAGTCCTCTTGCCAGGGTAGCTGGGGGTCAATTCCTAGCCGGGGAACTGCTGAGTTCGAAGGATTTTGTTAGCACGGGCTGGAGCGCAGAGGAGGAGCCACAGGCAGCTGCGGCAGTCCTTGGGCAAAAGGTGGTGGTGGCAGCAGGGCATGGTCCTGAGCAGGCGGCATCCCGTGGAACCTGGCTTGACAGGGAGGGAGAGGGAGAGGCGAACTCGAGCCTGAGCGCGTGGACGGAGGCTCTGAGTAAGCGGACAGTCCGCGGATGACCTTGCAGCTTGAGGACCGCCCTGGAAGGGGGCCAGTGCTGCAGGCCAGGCCCGGGCAGCCCGCCCTGGGTGAGGACAGCCCTGATGGCCAGCCTTGGTGCTAAGTGGCGGCCTGCGCCATGTACTCTGCCTTCCAGGGAGCTGCAGGGTGGGCAGGCGGGACTGGCGGTGCCTATCCTCCCCGCAGAGATGAGGACCAGGCTCCGAGACTGCGTGATGGGGCCAGAGCTGGAAAGTCCATGTGTGGTGGCAACTGTCTCCTCCAGGAAGACATGCCCACTTCTCCAAATCCCACATGCCCTGTTGCCTCGTCCCCACAAGAAGGAAGAAGCGGGACGTCAAGGCCCCGGCTGGCCTTCAAGCCTGGCCAGGCTCCCAGCCAGGAGCTGGGGAAGTAGGCAGCAGCACCCTGCCACTCACACTGCCACTGGAATCCCCCCGAAGGTGTTGGCATCCCCATTGTGAATGTAGATGTGAACCATTCTCAGATGGTTGAGTGCCGGGTTGATCTGCTGGAAAGTTCCTCGTGTTCGTGGGCTTCGGCGGTGAGCACCCAGCGTGCGCCGGCCATGTGCGGGCACTGGGCACCGGGCCGTGAGCAAAGCTAGGGCCCAGCTCCCACAGTGATGGCGCTGATGTAGGTAGATGGATAGTAGAGATACTATCAGAGAGGCTGGGGAGCAGGGAGGCGGGTTCTCTTAGGTGGGCTCCCTGGAAGCGGCCCTGGGGAGAACTGGGGCGGAGTTTCTGGGGCAGGCTTCCCAGAGACCTGGGTGCAGTGAGGAGGCGTGCGTGGACCGAGGGAGACGCCGACACCTCCGTAGACGTCTGAGAGAACTCTAGGACCAGGATGGCCCTTCCGAGTTGTCCCAAATTGAGGCAAGGCGGCCTCGTTGTCCCACTTCACTGGAGGAGAGGAAACCTTGAGTGAGGCCGTTTCCTGGGGCCCCGGGGAGTTCCTGGAAGGGACGCAGTTGTGAGCCATCAGCAGCGGGAAGCAGTGTGTAGCCCTTGCCTGCAAGGGGCGGAGGCATCAGGGAGGGCCTCTGTGAGGAGGCGGTGAGCAGTGAGTAACCTGAGTGAAGAGTGAGACAGGCTCATGCTTTGTACAGTGCCGTGGCTCTGAGATGGCCCAGGCTTGCAGGCTGAGGAAGGAGCCACGGGAGCTGGCTGCAGGCCCACGAGCTCCGTGTCAGAACCCACGGCCCTTCCCCAGCTGGCCCCAGCCCGGCCTGCAGTGCCACCAGCCCTCCTGCCCGGCAGCATTGGCAAAACTGGACCTGCCGTGGTCTTTGGCAAGAGGGAGGGAACTTCCAGAGGTGTCCCTGCAGTCCCGAGGCTGGTGGACGTTGTCTGAGGTCAGAGTGAGTTGGTTCTGACTCGAGCTCTGTCCAGGAAGGACTTTTGCAACACCGACCTGGGCTCCCAGGAGCCCACATCCCCGTCCAGCACACGTTGCCCTGCCCTCCCCCACTGCTGTGCCCACCCCTGCAGGTGGAAGCTTCTTCCTTCACGCGGGCCTTCAGCTCCGGCTGCCCGGCGTGTTCACGTCTCAGGAGGAAGGGCGCCCTGTCACCACAGCCCGCGGGTCCCTGTGCTGTGTCTGGGCCACACACACCATCTGTTCTCCTGGCCAGGGGACTGTCCCATAGAAACCGGAGGCTGGGGATCATGGGCCCAGGGCCAAAGAGCCCGGTGTCTCCTCCCACTGAGCCTCTGTCCCACCTCTCAACCACAGCACCCTGGCCACCTGCTCCCAGCCACAGCCCAGGGGACTCGGCTCTTCAACTGGGCCTGGGGAGGGCAGTGGAACGAGGCCGGCCCCACCCCGTTCTGGACATTCTGCCTTGAGAGCCGCCACCTGAGAGCCTGTCTCTCCCACCCCAGGCACCTCAGACCACATCTCATACCCAAAGACCGCATCCAGGGAGGGGCTTCCTGCCCAGGGCGAGGCCTCCAGCCCTCGGAGTCCAGCAACGGGCCTCTGTCATCTGTTCCCACCTCAACACACACACACCCCCATGGGTTGCTTCATCCCCAGCCGGGCCCATGCTGGAGCCCAAGAATGGGTCAGGACCAGAGACTGAGCCTTGAGGCTTCCCGGTGGACCTCCCGAGGGGCAGTCGAACACACGGCCCACTTTAGAAGTGCCTGCTGTGTGCCAGGCACGCAGGGCGCTAGGGACCAGGAGGAGGGAGTCGCGGCCTCTGTCCTCCAGGCTCCCAGGTGACTGCATGGATGCTGACAGCGTTTTCTTGAATCTGCAGCGGCAGGGCCCCATGAAGGCCGCTCTGTCCCCACACCTGAGCACAGGCCCTCAGGTGATGGCATGCCGGGGGGGAGAGTTCCAGGAGACTCCTTGGCCACACCAGGTTGCTCCATGAGTACCCACTAAACACCCGCTGGTGCCAGGCCCTGAGCTGGGCAATTCTGGGGACGAGGCCTCTGACAGGGTCCCCAGCTCAGGGGAGCTCCCAGCTCAACGGGGGAGGGGAGGCAGCCACTAAGCCATTACAGCATAGGGGCTGTGGGGGCCAGAGAGCTACCCAGCCTGGAGGGCTTCCTGAAGGAGAGGCCATCTGAGCCAGGTTCTAAAGGGCAAGTAGGAAAGAGGAGGGGACAGCAGGAACAAAGGCCCTCGGGGCCAAACAGCCATCCAGTCCCACACAGTTGAAGCATGAAACGCTGGGGGGTGGCTGGCCATGAAAAGGGGTGGCCCGCAGGTCCCAGCCCTGCAGGGTCTGGAAGTACGTGAGCAGTACTGGCTCGGTCTCAGGGCACCCAGCAGCTGGAGGCACTTTCTCCTCCTGTTTCCCAGATCTGGCTGCTGAGAGCCCCGGGGCTGTCCATTCACTCCTTCCCTCAGTGATCTCAGCCAGTCTCGTGGCTTTCTAGACCAGCTCAATGCCAGTGACTCCCAAAACGCCTCTCTAGCCAAGACCTGCCTACCTACATCTATTTTTTTTTTATTGAGTTGGAGTCTCACTCCATCACCCAGGCTGGAGTGCAGTGGCATGCTCACGGCCACCCGGCATCAACCTGCTGGGCTCTGGCGATCCTTCCGCCGCATCCTTCCAAGTAGCTGGAACTACATGCACGTACTACCATGCCGGGCTTTTTTTTTTTTTTTTGAGTTGGAGTATCACTCTGTCGCCCAGGCTGGAGGGCAGTGGCACGCTCCCGGCCACTGCAGCCTCGACCTGCTGGGCTCCAGCAATCCTTCCACCTCAGCCTTCCAAGTAGCTGGAACTACAGGCACGCGCTACCACGCCTGGCTATATATATATATATATTTTTTTTTTTTTTTTAATTGTAGAGACAAGGTCTCGCCAAGTTGCCCGGGCTGGTCTTGAACCTGTGGGCTCAGGCAATCCCCTCACCTTGGCCTCCCAAAGTGCTGGGATGACAGGCTTAGGCCACTACGCCCAGCCTACCTGCTTATATCTTTTTTTTTTTTTTTTTTTGAGTTGGAATCTCACTGTCGCCCAGACTGGAGTGCAGTGGCGGCTCTCTGCCACCCCAACCTCAACCTGCTGGGCTCCGGCGATCCTTCCGCCTCAGCCTTCCAAGTAGCTGGAACTACTAG